CTGGTGGACGTTTTATCTGGATGGCCTGGTAACCCTATGTTTTCTACATCACCCTGAGCCCCTTTCAAATCCCAAGCCCTTATTTTTTATCCTGGCTCTGCCTAAGACATTCTTCTCCCCTGGGGGTGAGTCCCGAACTCCCAGGAGAGGGGAGATGGGAGCCAGAACAGGTAGGGGAGCTCTGCCCATGCCCCCTACTAGTCATGCTGGTCAGACCAATAAAAGGCATCTGTGCCACTCTGCTAAGTTTGCTTTTCTTGAGCCGATGGATGAGAAGAGAGAGGCAGAGGCTATCTCTACCTAAGCTCCTCCTTGTCCCTCTCTAGAGCTGGGGCCCTGCTCCTTCTGCATCGAAGTCTTCCCCACTTCTTTTTTCCTCTCTGATCCTTCAAGAAAACCCTTCAAGCTCACAGCCTCCATGGAATGTGCAAGTAGGAAAGAAAGGAGACCAGGGCATAGCTGAATTTTAAGTGAGGACAGCAGTCCTTGGTGGCAGGATGCCTACAGATTCCTTTCCTGCTTTTCCCCAAACATCCCATATAAGCCAGCAGCACCTCCAAGACTGTCTCCCTTCGGTCAGAAGGTGGACACTATAATTCTGAGGCCTCCTAGAGGCTCAGGGGCAGTGGTGTGTTGGAGCTGGCTTATACTGGCTCAGGAGAGCCAGTTAGTCCATTTTCAGGAATTTTGTTGCAAGCCAGTTGTTAAACACAGCCATTATTAAAAATTAAATTATGTAACTTTACAATTAAATTATTAAAGATCAAGGGTAATAAATATTCAAAACATCTCTCTGATAACTAAATCTGCCTGTGATCTATGTTTTTGAGGTTAACAGTTCTTTCTGGACGGTGGAACCACTGCATACACAGTGCACTTTTGTGCTTCTCTTCCCAACTCTACCCTCAGGACATCATGGGAACTTGAAATCAGCTATGGTGGGACCATTTACTCCACAGAAATCAGGTGATGCTACAAAATCATGGCGTTGTGTTTATTTTTAGAGAGAGAGAACTGGTAGTTAAATATTTATAAGCATAGCACCGCTTGCAGGGGTTCTCAACCTGTGGGTCGCGGCCCCTGAATATACATCCTGCATATCAGATATTTACATTACGATTCATAACAGTAGCAAAATTAGTTGTGAAGTAGCAACGAAAATAATTTTATGGTTGGGGGTCACCACAACATGAGGAATGTATTAAAGGGTCGTGGCATTAGGAAGGTTGAGCACCACTGGCTTAGAGGGAAGGTGGGCAGGGAGAGGAAGGCAGGGAGTTGTCAACTGCAGCCTCTTGGGGCTGGCAGGGCAGGCCCTTAAGGGAAGCTCTGACTCGCTGTTCTGGCAGCTCAGCGCCCCCCTGTGGCCAAAGCTAAGATGGTGGCATGGTTTACTGATTTGAATTATGCCAGCTTTTTGCGTGTGCGCTAGTGTGCA